CTTGCTTGATAGTTGAACATGAACAGTTGAAAGGAAACTCTGGCTGATTGACCATTGATGATAAACAGGATGGTGAGGGGGAACCAGGACTCTCTTGACGCCTCGCTCACCTTATCAGCGTGATCTTGACAGCATATCCAGCCTTCATCCAATGTTATATCTCCTCAGGTCATACACTGAAGATTGTTCAGGGTTAGTAGCAAGGCGGCGCTCCTGTTGCTCTGAGGGGAGAACATCACAGGCGAGCCGTGGGTGGAGCATGGAGCGTGGGTGCGTTTGGTTTATGCAACAATGGAGTAGCATAGCGGGACACACCGTCTACCGTGACTCTGATGGTCTTCTGCTCCAGTTGTTCCATAGCTGCTTTATCCTCACCAGAGCGGATCACCTCCTTACTATTTCTGAATGGCAATGTGTCTAGCTTCCAAAGTCTTTCAACATTGTGATGTAGTTCTTCAGAAGGGGAGAGGAATGAAGAATGAAGACAGCTGTTCTCACCTGATGAATGCTGCAGGAAGGTTGCAGGTCCCTGCACAGCCCATCCCAGAGCCGTGCACACAGCTACAGGTCCACCAATTGGGCCAGACCGGACTGGGGATACTGGTGTTATCAGGTGAGGGTTGTCAGAACCAATGAGTAGCATAGGCTTGACTTTATTGTAGGAGAGCAATGGAATGTCTCTCAAGTGCTGGTAGCTTCATTTCAGGTTCATGATTGTTCAGCCAGATTCAGCTCTGCTTCATCCCTTTCTTCATCAGAGGTGACACTTTGAGTGAGACTGTAGCTCCCTTTAACTGCACCTTGCCCTGTCTAATTGTCCTCAGGGACAAGATTTCTTGTGCACAGCAGCTGGTAATATGATTCTTTCAGATCCGTCATCCAGAACAGCGTAAGTACTGGGTGTTTTCTTCCCATTGTGCAGGCGTACTGGAACAACCTTCAGCATCACTCGACTTGATTGGCTAATTTGGTCTATGTAAATCATGCTGGGGAATGTACTCACAGTCAGGACAGTCTCTGTTTGAGCCACATCATGGAGCACAGATAAGTGTTGTTCCCCACAAGTTCAGGGCTTCTTTAAAGTGCAGTTGTCAGATGTGTGTCCTCTCCCACACCTTCAGCATCTTTTCTTCTCCTTTATCCAGTCAGCCTTTGCATTGTTTGTGAGCTTAGCAAAGTCACTGCAGGCGTTGAGGTAGTGTTTTTGGTTGTTACAGTAAGGGCAATAGGGCTTAAACCTATCACTCTTCTTAGACTGTGGTGGAGTGCTTGATGCAGGAGCTGGATTAGGTTGCTGAACCCCCTGGTGGTTACCGAGTAGAATATTTGCAGACTTCGCTCTTGGCTGCTTCACTGATCTGCGCTCCCGGCTGTCAGCATGTGTGGGTTTGTCTGGATTTTCTTCTCAAGCCGCTCTGCCAGATCTGGAAGAGTATATGTCCTGTCGCTACCACTCTGGATAATTCCCCTAGTGAAGCAGTATTCAGCAAAGGCATCTCTGAAGTTAGCAGGCAGCTTGGTGAGCAGTGTGTCAACATGAGAACCACAATGCAGCTCTGAAGATGAAGGACCTTGCATTGTGCTTAGCATGCCCACTAGTGTTCCAACTGATGCTGCAAAATCTGCAATACCTTGATAGTCTCCGGCCTTCACTGGTGGAGCGTTAAGGATGGCATTGAGTTCTCCCTGCACAAGCTGTCTGGGCTGACCATATCTTTGCATGAGGGCTTGCATGGCAGTAGTGTATGGCGTTGCACTGTTGATGAACCGCTTGGCTATTTGAAGTGCTGCAGGGAATCTGAGGTGGTCGAGAAGGACTTGGTACTTGTTGTCTTCACTTAAGTGTCTATGGGGCCCAAGAACACTGTCCAGGCCCTTCCTAAGCAGCAGGAAGTCGCTTTCCCTCCCTGAGCTAAAAACAGTCAGTTTTGGCTTGGGAATACCAAATGATGAAGCAATAACCATCTCTAAAACACCTGGTGCATTCGGGTTATCTGGTGGCCGCCCAGGTGCAGGTGGCTGCTGAGGATAGTAGTGTTGCAGGAGTAAGCAGGATATGGTTTGGAGGAGGAGGCTGCCAATACCTGGGTGCACTGTATGCTGGTTGTGATGGGGCAGGTGCAGTCTGGATCAGCAGGGCAGGAACTGTGGAGACTGCAGATGGCACCAGTGAGGTAGAGGGATTTGGTGCTATCATGTTGACTGGAGGCACAGGTTGTGCTGGCAGGGCCAATGATACAGGGGCTACCTGGTCAATAGTGCTGATGAAATGGAGGCTGTAAAGTCCTTGTGTCATTTGTGAAATAGGAGCAGATAGTATCGATTCAGCGTCTGAAGCTTGTTCCACATCGTCAACCAGCGGTGCAGCAGAATCTTTTTCCACAGCCTCTGTCAGTTCAGCAGAGAGTGCGTTTTGCCTTGATGAGGCAGCAGCTGTGTCCTGATCTTGAGAGAGAGGCACCATTGGAGCTGGAATATGTGATGCAGATGGGTACTGTGCCATCCTCACGGACGTAATTTGGGGGGGGACAGGAATGTCCCCTGCACTTTTTGAAAAAGGCTGTTTTGGTCCCCTGCAGTTTTTACGTAAAACAAAAAACAAATGTTACGTGTATATATATAGGTAAACAGAGAACTCTCGAAGCACGCTAGGACCAAGCGGAAAACGGCCGCTCCAAGCTGAAGCCTGTCTCCCTTAGTTTAGACCATATATATACAGTATATATAGTTTATATGTCTATTTGGTTTAGTACCCGCCCACAAGGTCCTCCATTGGCTCTGCCCGGTTCTTGTGTTTGATTGGTCCGTCCTCTGTCTTATTCCTCCTTGTCTTGCACACCAGTACTGCAGTTGCCTCAGTGCGTCCTTATTTAATCGTCACTGTAAAGATTGGGCGTTTAATTCTGCCGGGGTCCCGTCAAGCTAGAAGGATTGTAATCTAGAGGTTGCCATTACATTAACTTTTTCAAATCGGTGTACATGTGCGTATGACGTGCGTGCGACAATAAGAGACTTCCTTTAGAAGTCAATAGTGTAATGTGTAACTCACAAGAAATGCGTTACACCATGCCTGCAAACCTTCACTTGGCTCTACAAAAAAGCAGCGCATATCCACTTTCAGATCCTCCTCATCATTACAAAGCTCTCCAATAATCTTTAAAGTTCTGTTTGAGTGTTTATGAAATGTGCTGATAAATAAAATGTATTATTAAGTTATTGGTTTATTATGTATTATTTATTAT